AGGGTGAGAGAGAGATGGAGAGAGAAAGAGAGAGACCTATACGTGATTTCTTTGCCAACAAAAATGAAACTGTCATTAACTGTTTGTTCCCAAACATCAATTAAATTATAGTCAAATTATAAAATGTTGGTGTGTTGTTTTCCATATAACCACTTTCCAACAAATAATACAAACAAATGGTAAACCGGTGGTCAAATCTGCAAAAACATTAATTATTTAAGTTTTTATTCTCGTACATAAATTAAATGTCAAATTATATAAACCATGGTATTTTGGCGTATTGTCTTCCATATAACCACCGTTTTACTACAAACAAAACAAACAAATGGTAAAAGCATGCTTAAATCCGCAAAACAATGCTATAATTTAATATTTTGTTCCCTAACAAGGGTATTTTAGTGTATTGTCTTCCATTTAACCATCGTTTAACTACAAATAAAGGATCAAACTATGCTAATGTTTGCAAAAACCATAGGTAATTTATTACCATTTAACAGTTTGTTGCCTTACATAAATTAAATTATAGTAAAATTGTAGTAACCATAGTGTTTTGGTGTAACATCTATAACCACAATTTTACTACAAATAAGTCAGATGGTAAAACCATGCATACATTTACAGAAACAACGTTAAGATTTAACAGTTTGTTCCCTTATATAAATGAGATTATAGTAAAATTGTAGTTACCATGGTATTTTGGTGGATTGTCTTCCATAACCACAGTTTTATTACAAATAAAACAAACAAATGGTAACACCATGCTTAAATCTGCATAACAATGTAAGGATTTAACAGTTTGTTCTCTTACATAAATTAAATGATAGTAAAATTGTAGTAATCACAGTATTTTGGTGTATTTCCTTCCATATAACCACAGATTTACTACAAATACAATGGTAAAACGATGCTCAGATATGCAAATTCATAGTTGATTTGTTGCCATTTAACAGTTTGTTCCCTTACATAAATAAAAAATTGTAGTATTCAGAGTATTTTTGGTATAAGGTCTATAAAATAACCAAAATTTTACTACACACAAAACAAACAGTAAAGCCATGCTTACATTTACAGAAACAACGTTAAGATTTAACAGTTTGTTCCCTTATATAAATAAGATTATAGTAAAATTGTAGTTACCATGGTATTTTGGTGGATTACCCTCCATATAACCACAGTTTTACTACAAATACAATGGTAAAACTATGCTAATATCTGCAAAAAATTATAGCTACCCTAAACCTTTTTGTTCCCTTACATGAATTAAATTATAGTAAAATTGTGTTAGCCATGGTATTTTGGTGGATTGTCCTCCATATAACCACAGTTTTAGTTCAAATCCAATGGTCAAACTATAGATATGCAAAGTCATAGTAAACTTTTTACCATTTAACTTTTCGTTCTCTTACATAAATTACATGTTAGTAAAATTGTAGTAACCACCGTGTTTTGGTGTATTGTCCTCCATATTTGCAGTTTTTACTACAAAAAAGGTAAAACTACGCTTAGATTTTCAAAACCATAGTTCATTTGTTACTGTTTACCTTTCTGTTCCCTTACATAAAGTAAGTTGAAATAAAAGTGTAGTAATCATGGCATTTTGGTGTATTATGACCACAGTTTTATTGCGAAAAAATGGTTAAACTATGCTAATATTTGCAACATCATAGTTTATTTGTTCCCACAAAACTTTTTGTTCTCTTACATAAATTAAATTATAGTAAGATTTTAACAACCGCAGTATTTTGACATATTGTCTTCCATATCACCACAGTTTTACTACAAATAAATGGCAAAACTATGCTGATATTTGTAAAAACCCAAGCTAATGTATTACCATTTAACAGTTTATTCCCTTACATAATTAAATTGTAGTAGAATTGTAGTAACCACAGTATTTCTGGTCTGTTGTCTTCCATATAACCACAGTTTTACTACAAATACAGTGGTAAAACGATGCTTTGATATGCAAATTCATAGTTAATTTGTTACCATTTAACAGTTTGTTCCCTCACATAAATAAAAATTCTAGTAAAAGTGTTGTAACCACAGTATTTTTGGTATACGGTCTATAAAATAACCCCAATTTTACTACAAATAAAGCAAACAAACAGTAAAACCATGCTTACATTTACAGAAACAACGTTAAGATTTAACAGTTTGTTCCCTTATATAAATAAGATTATAGTAAAATTGTAGTTACCATGGTATTTTGGTGGATTTTCTTCCATATAACCACAGTTTTACTACAAATACAATGGTAAAACTATGCTAATATCTGCAAAAAATTATAGCTACTCTAAACCTTTTTGTTCCCTTACATGAATTAAATTATAGTAAAATTGTGTTAGCCATGGTATTTTGG